TTTTTTTTTAAAGCAGCCTCAGGCTACCAGGTGGAGTGGTAAGAGGATCACCATAGCCTTGTTTGAAGTAGTTTCCTTATCAGCGACCAACACGTGGCAGTGCGCAAACGTACACACAGTCAGCAAAGAGCAACGTCCCATTGCTGGTCTGTGGGTTGATGAGCGGATGATAGCAGGATATCTAGGTAAGACGTGGCGATACTCTTGGCCCAATTTGCTTACGGCGGACAGCTTCGCGACTCAGTCGAATTCACTCAATGATAACCAGTACTCGCCGACTGTCAAAAGTGGCAGAGCATGGAGCCAACCCGAGAATGCTAGTGGTGCCTGCTCTTACCAGCACACCTAGCATTATCTCGGGTTGTTTCGTGGGAAAAAAAAAAGAAAAAAAAAAAAGTGGCAGAGCATATCTCGAGTCTAGTTACTAATGGAACTTATGGAAGAATATACTCGTGGACTTTCCCACCCATAATTTGGCCAGTAGACGAGAGGGGCACTACGGCGCCCATGGACGCGAGGATGGCACTATACCATCCTCTCACGGAGACTGTCGTAGACTTCTTTTCCTTTTTTTTTTGGGGGGGGGAAGGGGGGGCGCGGGGAGGGAACTGCCGTAGAGCTTGGCACTCGCTAGTAGTGTTTCTTTTTTCTACTCGTTTTTTTTTTTTTTTTGGTTATGCGGTAGGTCCGCTGCAGTTGACCGGGTAAACAGGTTATCTCTCTTCGGTTCAGATGATGACTAAGGCCTGAGTGAGGGGCGGTCAATGCAAGCTCGTGCTGTTCGTCACAATCACGACCCTGTGTGATCAGTGCGTCAGGGGCTGGAATCCGTTGGATCATGCCAAGACTAAACTGGCTAGGAAGATCCGTGTTATTTCACGACTTTCTTGTATGAATCTGACCGTTGATAATAGCCAGATTCCATCAAAACGGCCCTACTTTGAGTATGCCCTTAACTGCATTCATGGCCACTTTCTGGTTGGAATCTGACCGTTAATAACAGCCAGATTCCATCAAAATGGTCCTACTTTGAGTATGCCCTTCCTTAACTGCGTACATGGCCTTACCTGCATAAACCAACCTCAGTGCTAGCTCGACGTACTGTCCACCCCTAAACATGGCTGAAATACCAATTCACGTTCAACTTTTCTTCCACTTATGTGCGGATATCCCAATCCACAAGACCAATCCATGAAATAAACAGCATACAAGTCCCCAACTTCCCGCAGAATCTTCCCACCAACACCCATTCAACAAAACAAACAAAAAAGACTCATTCATCAAATTGATTTCCGAGTTTTAATAGGGGAACTCAGTAGTCAAAAAATGAGCGCAAAAAAAAAAAAAAAAAAAAAAAAAAAAAACATCTGATTTCGCTTGATTTCGCTCATTCTCTTTGAATATACTCTCACCATCGTGTGGAAGTGTATGTCGTGCCCGTGTTGGGAGACAGACGGCTGTCTTTAAAGATCCAGGATGGGGTTACGCAATTTTTTTAGTAAACAAGGATCAGCACGATTGGATTACGGGAATATTTTTGTAATTTTTTTTATTGGGGGCCGCTCCCTTTTTCGGATAGTATCCCCTTTTTTTTTTTTTTTTTTTTTTAGTATCCCGGTGTATACCTTTTCCTAACTCCAAGCAATCCATGCACATGTGCCCGCGCGAATTCTCTTCACTTTTTTTTTTTTTTCCTCCACTTCTCAAGCGATCAAAGAGAGAATTCATTTCCAACTTCGGATCTCTTTCCATGAACTTCCATCACTTCCCATCCGCCAAATCCCGTGGGAAGATATTTCCACACAAAAGCGGGCCCAAACACTTTCACTCATTCACCAAAGCCCGCACTCACTCCAGTTTCTTTTTTCTTTTTCTTTTTCTTTTTTCACTCACTCCAGTTTCACGAACGTAGGTAGTTTACATTCTCTTATCTGCAACAGGCCTCTGAGACTAACCACAAAGGAGCTTCTTTTATTTTCTGTTCTTCAATTCTTTTGAAAGGGCGACGGCCTTGATATATCATCATAGAGGGGACCCCTGCAAGCACAGGTGCCCAACAAACTTGGGATTCATGTTGCCCGCCGCCCCAACAGCAGTAGTAAGAGATGGGGTGGGGCTGCCCGTTGGGGTCCGGCTAACGCAAAGACCCAGCATTTTGCCAGTAGCTACTAGCTACCCCTCTCTTTGCAATTCCATCCTCCCCCACCCACCATGGAATAGCAGCAGTGTCTAAGGCCAACAGTCTCGCCAAGGCCAAAAGAACTTGAGAGAAGAATATACCGTAGTTTCAAAATAGGGTTAATTTCAAAATATTGCTGTTTCGAAGTTTGGCAGCAAAAATGTCGTCCGTTCGAAGTTTCCTTTGCAAAAATAGATGTTTCATTGCCGCTTTATCGGGTTCCCGTAGTTTGCCAGCACAAATACCGGGTTTCGCCAAGTTTCACAGCGAAGGACCCCTAGGCCCCTGGCCTCAGGGACTCAGCGTTCCGGCCTCAGACACTCAGCTTTTCTCTTTTTTTTCCTTTTTTTTCTGCGGGCGTGGCCGAGGCGTGGCCACGCCAAGATGCCTCGGCCACGTTTCTTGTTTTTTTTTTCCCCCCCCGCGGCCGTGGCCGAGGCATCTCGGCCGTGGGCACGCCCAGATGCGCCGGCCATGCCCGGAAAAAAAAAAAAAAAAAAAAAAAAAAAACGCTGAGTGCCTCAGGCCAGAACGCTGAGTCCCTGAGGCCATGAGGCCAGAGGCCTAGGGGTCCTCCGCTGTGAAACTGGGCAAAACGCGGTATTTTTGCTGGCAAACTATGGGAACCCGATAAAGCTGCAACGAAACATCTATTTTTGCAAAGGACACTTCGAACGGACGACATTTTTGCTGCCAAACTTCGAAACAGCAATATTTAAACAAGATATCATCATAGAACTGACTGGCCCCACAGGTAATTCCGTTATATTCATGTGTTCCCATAAGGATTCGGACTTTCGGTCTGGTTATGTACATTTCATTGGTATACCGTTCAGCAACATCATACGGGGTGGGTCAAAGGAATTTTTTTTTGACAGTGCACTTGTTGTGGAGGGCTGGAGGGCTCACAGGAGGCCCTTCACAAAAATGTTGTACCAGGCTGGACCGCTGGCCAACATTTGCCATTACACAGCAAAGAAGAGCGTGCAACCGTGCATCATTATCATTTTTTATTTTTTTTATTTTTTTTTCACATTTAGAGAGTGATAGATTGAGGCCGTTAATTCCAGGGAGCAAAAGATCGTCTCGGCAGATTCCTGTAGCTTGTGGAGGTCTTCACATCTTAGGAAACAATTGCGCGCCAATGCAAAGCTTAGCCCCGTTTCCAGCAGGCGAGGCTCCCACCAATTAACTGGAACGGATATATTAAGAACAAAAGAAGTGAGGACGTTTGAAGGAAGCTTTATTTAATTAAAAAAAAAAAAAAAAAAAGTGGGGAAGAAGACATCACTAGAAGAAAAAGAAAAAACCAAAAGAGATCTAGTAGAAGTTGTGTTACTTGTGTACAACTGTACCAGATCGGGTTGGCCACGTCATTACGTCGGTTTCAAAATGAATGGCATCATAACGTATGGTCAGTTAGTAATGGCTTATGAAAAGAGAACATCTTTCGGACTAGATCCCAATCAATCATGTCACTCAGCAAAGAGAGTTTACCTTGTTCGAAGATCACTTGTGTCCAGTACTGAGTGTCCAGTGAGCCGTCTGCGGAGGTACCACAGGAGAATGCTCATCTCACCTCATGCGACGGCCGGCCAGGGTTGTTTAAAAAAAAAAAAAAAAAAAAAAGGAAAACCCTGTCTTAAACAATTTCAAATGGTGGCCCTTTTGAGGGTTTGGTATCAACCACACTGATTGCCATGCTGGGCCATCTA